GCAAATCTTTCAAGACGAGGAGAGCTTTCATTCGGCTGGCCGAGAAAATGGCCCATCAGTAATGAGAAATGAGTTGTACATTTTTAAAACACATCAAACCGGCAATTAGTTTCAAATATCTTTTTTTCATTTCGAGATTTTAAATTACATGAATTTTTATGCGTGGAGAATTTATTGGATTTTATATTTATATACATTTATTTTTAAAATCAGTTTGAATGTGAGTCAAAATTTCGGGATTAAAAACAGTTCGGACCGCACCGAAATATGCAAAATTTCGTATAATTTTTTAACCGTGGCCACAGTATGGGCTGTAATGCTAACAAAAAGAATATGGGCTCCAAAAAAAACCTTAAGAATTAGCAAATGGGCTGTAAATTATTAGAAATAATGGCAGATGGGTTGTATGCTGTTTTCCACAGATTTGAGGCTTTCCTAAAAAAAGGTTGACGCACAAGCAGTAACTATTGGATTGCCATCCAACGGCCATCGTGCTTCTTCAATCTCTGCTCTTCCTGCTCCAGCCACTCAAACAAGCGCCGACGGGACTGCCTGCTCCCTCCTCCCCGCAGCCGGCTCTCCTGCCGCGCAGGCCTCACTGCCCCACCGTACTCCCATCGCTGGCCTAGCCATCCCTCTACTCACCCACACCTGCTATTATTCTCCGGCGACGACAGACGAACCAGTAAACCCTCGTACAATCGTACTCCCCTCCACGTGGGAAACAACTGCCGAGTCTTCCCTGCCTCCGTGTCGTTCCTTTCCTAGGCCTCGCCGTCGTCCACTGCCCTGGTGCTCTCGGCGCGGCCTGGTCAACGTGGTCAATGACCGACATGCATCTGAAGTGGACTGTACGTGGAGAGGCCGACAGCTGGGTCCACGGCCGCACGCAAGGAAATGCCTCCTTATTACGCGCAAAATAATGATTCCTCCACCTGACATCAGGGACCCACCGAAAGGGCCTCTATGTTTCGCGAAAAAAACGTTACCGCCGCTGACAGCTCGGACCCACCAGCTATATCTTCGCATGCAAGGAAGTGCCTCCTTATTACGCATAAAAAATGAATACTCCGCCTGTTAGCTGGGACCCAGTATAGTGGCAGGCTGACTTGTGGTCCTACTAAGTTGACGGGGACGGAGGGCTTTGTCAACTTAGTCAATAATATGCACGATTCTAGCTCCAGTGACCGTACGATGTCCATCCAACGGCCGTAGTGCTTCTTGAACCTCTGGTCTTCTTGCTCCAGCCGCCCAAACCAGCGCCGGTCGTGCCTCGTGCTCCTGCCTCCCATGGCCGGCTGCGATGCGACGGAGGCCTCACAGCCCCCTACTACTCCCACCGCTGGTCAGGCCATCCCTCTACTCACCCACACCCCCTGTTATTCTACGGCGACGACAGCCTCACCCTCGTACTCCTCTTCGCATGTGCATCTACTGCTGCGTCTTCCTCGGCTCCGCGTCGTCCCCTTCCTAGGCCTCGCCGTCGTCCACCGCCGTGGTGCTCTCGGCGCGCCGTGGTCAATGTGGTCAACGACTGACTTCCATCGAAAGAGTACTGTGCGTGGAGAGGCTGACAGTTGGGTCCACGACGGCCGCAAGGAAGTGCCTCCTTATTACACGCAAAATAATTATTCCTCCACCTGACAGCAGGGACCCACCGGACGGGCCACCAGTATTTCACAAAAAAAACCGTTTCCCCCTGACTGCTGGGACCCACCAGCTACATCTTTGCACGCAAGGAAGTGCGTCCTGGCAAAAAATAAAATAAAACCCAAAATGATTCGCCCCCCTGACTGCTGGGACCCACCAGCTACATCTTTGCAGGCAAGGAAGTGTCTGACAGTCGGGACCCACCTAGTCGAAGCGTACGTAGCGTTGTCATTCTGGTCGCGAAAGTGTATGTACATACTGGTCGATGTAGAGGCACGCACGTGTCGTAGTAGAGGCGCGCACGTGTCGATGTAGAGGCACGCACGTAGCATGTACACGTACATACAGCAGCGAGGGTGCAAGAAAAAAAATACGGCCACGTGCGTACATACGGGCAGGGTCTCGAACGCCTACTCGCGTATACGTACATGGCTGGGTCGGAACGGAGAAACAACGTCGTCGTCGTGTTCATGGGGAGTCAACGGAATGCGTCGTGTTCATGAGGAGGCAACGGAATGCCTCGTGTTCATCGGGAGGCAACGGAACGCGTGAGAGCCAACCGGCTTGGACGGAACAGGCGATGGAAACTAGGCCTGTCGTACCGCGGTACGGAGGAAACGGCCTTGTGTTCGACCGGCCACGTTCAGAACGAGGTCCTGTTGATCGGGAGGGGTGTGGCGTACCGCAAAACGGAGGAAACGGACCTCCTACGATCAAAAGGGAGGTCCTGTTGATTGAGAGGGGTGTGGCGTACCGCAAAACGGAGGAAACGGACCTCCTACGGTCGAAACGGGGGTCCTGTTGATCGGGTGGGGTGTGGCATATCGCAAAACGGACGAAATGGACCTCCTACGGTCGAAACGGGGGTCCTGTCCATCGGGAGGGGTGTGGCGTATCGCAAAACGGGACTCCACGGGATACTGTTCATCTCCACCGTCGACCTCCTCCAGCCTCCACAGGCTACCATCGACCTCCTCCAGCCTCCACGGGCTCCTGTTTATCCAGCCTCCACCGCGCGCTACTCCACCGGCTACTGTTCAACCATCCTCCACCGTCTACTGTTCATCCACCCCTCCACCATCTACTGTTCATCCAGCCCTCCACACCATGTGGTCCTGTTCAACCACCCCTCCACAGCCACCCCTCCACCGTCTACTGTTCATCCAGCCCTCCACACCACGGGGTCCTGTTCATCCAGAGGCAACGCCACCGCTCACTGTTCATCCAACCCCCCTGCAACGCTCACTGTTCATCCAATCGATCGGCTTCAGTTAGTAGTAGTACCGAAGGAATCGCTCCATCGGGTTCAGTTAACAGCCATCGATTGATCGCTCGGATTCAGTAACGCGTAGCCTGCAGTGCCATCGCTAGGGTTCAGTTAGAGCCAACGCCTCGCACGTGTACGAGAGAAACGCGCATTGCTCGGCCCCTGACCTCCCACCGTAACCGGCAACTCCCCGAAATTTTCCTCCCCCTTGCTTTTACCATGTTTTTTTCTGTCATGGACGGCCCAAAGAATGTCATGCAGCTGCGTCTCCGGCCCGCCCAAGACGAAAAGCCCATTTTCTGTCATGATTTTTTTTGATAGAAATAGGAGCCCACCACATCTATGATGATGCCGGGTTTTGTCATAATTATCGTCATAGAAGTGTCATATGTATGACAGAATTTTTTTTCGTTCGGCCCAAAATGTCACGGATGTGTCTTTTTTTGTAGTGCTTGGAGCGGAGCTGTGGCGCAGGCTCAACGACGTCAGCTAGCAGGGCCACCAGCATGGGACGAGGACAAGCTCCACGACCTTAGGAAGTGGGTAGGTGGCATCGACCCCGAGCACCCGGTCACCGTTGTCGGTGCAACGAGCACGAGCTATGCGCAGAGGTCACACTCAAGGTCCCTTTAGAGCTTTATGGCGTTAGTATAGAAATGATGATCTGCCAAATCAGCGAAGCTCCATATGATGATCAGACAAATGATGAATCGTCGATCCACAGAATCAACGCACCACAAGTTCACGGGCATCGACAATGAAGGAACACTAGGATGGGAATAGAGGATTGCAATAGGGAGCAGGGATTCAGTGCCGAGGCTCATCTGCACCTGCGAGAAGTTTTTTTTCAAAACAAATACTAGAAAAATTCAAAAAATTTAATTTTTTACGTGGTAGATAATTTGGTGCGTGAGGTGCGCTCCAAATTTTAGATCATTTGGACAGCTACTCATATGTCCAAATGATCTAAAATTTGGAGTGCACCTCATGCACCAAATTATCTTCCATGATTTTTTTGGATTTTTTTGAATTTCTTTGTATCTTTGGTGAATTTTTTCTTGACTGGGTGCAGATAGTCCTGGCCATCTCAGGCCCGGCCCTGTCGGCCCACCCAGGCCCGACCCTAAAATCTAGGGCCTAGGCCCGACGGGCTTGCTCATGGGCCGGGCTTGGGCCTAAGTTTTAAGCCCACCAACAGGGCCTGGATGGGCTTGGGCTTGGCATATTGGCATTTTAACGAAGAGGCCCGGCCCACGGCCCTAAGCCCTAAGGGCTTTTGAGGGCTTTTTACTAGATGGGTCGGGCTTGGGCTTGAAAAATAGGCCCGATGGTAGGGCCTGGGAGGGCCTGGACCTCAGTTTTTTGCCGTGGGCTTTTTCAGGCCCGGCCCAAGCCTGGCCCAGCCCGGCCCATGGCCAGATATAGGTGCAGATGAGACTGGGCTCAGAAATGGATATTCGATTGCAACATTTTCACTCTTGAGCTCTAATCCTTGTGTTTTCAAGAAATATGTGCATTTATAAGTTTCAAATGATCATAATAAAAGTCCACATACACATGCGGTTTATTCTACACATATTTAAAAACGTGTATTAGAAAATATGCTAATTTGTAAGGTACATAGAAAAGGTTGATTTTGTAGGCCCATAAAGAGAAAATAGCAATCGACTTATTTTTCTTTCTTGCATATAGCACACAAACATAAATTTGCATAGATGAAATTTTGTGTTGATGTCCATATATGGAACCAAAAGAACTTTTGTGGGAATAGAGCTACGTTCTGAAAGCTTTAAAAAAAAAGCTACGTTATGAAACAGGATAATACCCAAGTTCTGCAGGATACAAGTGGCCATTGTTTTACAAGCGCGGTTGCCATTTATCACTACGTTATTTTCCAGGTTTCCATCCTTTTTAGGGTTTTTGAGGTTTTTATCTGAAAACTCGCAAAATTCAAAACCGTGACGAGGTGCACCAAATCAAATCCGCTTTACATCTCTTCGTGGGCTTCAGTCTACAGCCCACTTGAGAGCCTGCTGCACCTCACTTCACCTTTCCAACCCGCATCGGTGAGGCACGCGAGAAGATGAGTGGCCCCCGCTCGTCGGCGGCGCCGCCGCTGGACGACGACGACCTGCTCGCCGAGATCCTCCTCCGCCTCCCCCCGCAGCCATCATCCCTCCCCCGCGCCTCCACCGTCTGCAAGTTCTGGCGCAGCCTCGCCTCCGACCCCTGCTTCTCCCGCCGCTTCCGCGCGCACCACCGCCGAAACCCTCCCCTCCTCGGCTGCCTCGTCCATGATTTTTGCCAGGTTCGCTTCCAGCCTACCCTGGAGCGCCCCAATCGCGTCCCGCTATCCAGCTTCCCCGTCCCAATCGCCGCCGGCGGCCGCTTCCGGATCCTCGGATGCCGCCATGGCCTCGTACTCATCTTGCACGACTCACAGAAGCAGCTCCTGGTGTGGGACCCCGTCACCGGTGACCAGCACAGCCTGGACATTCCCCGGGGGTTCGCCGAGAAAACCTGGATCCATGCGGCGGTGTGTCGTGCTCCCAGAGATTTCCACCATTTCCAGGTGGTCTTGGTAGGCAACAGCGACATTCAAAGTACACAAGCGGTAGCCTCTGTTTACTTGTCAGTGACCGGTGTATGGGACAATCTCGTCTCAACACCGCTTCCACCAGAGGATTCTGGTTTTCCCACCATGGTTTACACGGGCATGCCTGCTGTGATGGTTGGGGGTTCCTTTTATTGGTTGCTTTATGGGAATTCACAAGGAATCCTTGAATTTGATTTGGATAAGCGGAGCCTAGCTTTAATACCCATTCCAGTGGGGAACGCTCGAGACATGAGTGTAGGCAATATTTGGGTTATACCGGCAGAGGGTAGTGGCCTTGGTTTCCTCTTCCTGAGAGGCTTTTGTGCCCAATTATGGAAGATGAAGACCGATTGCAAGGGTGTTTCTTCATGGGTGCTGGGAAGAAGCATTGATCTCAACAAGTTACTTTCCTTGAATTCAGAGATGGAGATAGGGTACCCATCGATAGTAGGGTTTGCCGAGGGCAATAATGTGGTGCTTCTATGGATGTCTGCCGGAGTCTTCATGGTTCAGTTTGAATCATTGCAGTTCAAGAAACTTTTTGAATCCCATGAGTGGTGTTGCTTTTATCCACTTGAAGGTGTCTATACTGCAGGTAAAATGAAACCAGTTTATTTGAATTTCATAATGTTAGTATTAGTGCATAGCTGTGTTTCATCTGTTTATACCAAGATAAGATACATAATAATTTTTCTGAAAGTGAAGACAATTACATGAAAAACGTGCTTAAACGGTTGAACCAACTGATACATCAAATAGGCAGATCAATTGGCATATTCTGAAGCTAAAGATAGTTAAATTTCCTTCATTCAATATTGGCATCGTTGTCGATCTTGCTAGTAATATTAAATCCATAAGATGGCTTGGTTTTATGTTTATAAAATAGTTTTTCACTTATAGAAGATCTGCTAATAGTCTGAGTGTGCATATTCTTCGTTTTATGACATCAGTGAGTATACTGTTGGTGTGAGTGATTATATAGTGTTATTTTAATGTTCTTTGTATTCGATGGTATATGTGGATTTGTTTATCTGTTCCTAAATTTGCATCAGGCCTGAATTATTTTCTCAAATTACAACATTGTGTTTATCTAAATATCTACTCTATGCCCCCCTTGTACCTATTTGACTCTTCTTTGGAATCTCATTGGTTCCTTCACTTGTTATTCTTGTAGGCACAGACATTGGTGGTGGAAACGATGAAGCTAAACTTTTGCACAATACATGATATGATTTATCCGGATAGACATGTGGATGAGATATATTGATTGAGCAGGTAAGTATCTATTAGTAGTAGCAGATTGAAATATTTCCCTTTCCTTCCCTTCAGAGGGTATTTGTTGTTTTGCTTTTGCTCGTTGCCACATTGCATTGATTTATTTTCTGTGGCTTTGGTCTGTCAAGTTTGAGGTTGATTTATTTGTTGTTCCATCAATGCAAATAATTGATAACTAGAAACATCTCAACGTGCTTGCCATTTCACACTATTGCTTTCTTAGGGAAAACATTTCACATTATTGCCCATTCAGGATCGTTATAATACCTAATGCTCGCTTGCAGTTGTTGTACAATTATGTTAATCTTAGGCGGTTTTGTTAAATATTTTCCCAACAGCCCTCTATTTGTCAGCCTAACTCTCATAGTTTGTCTGAACTGAAGTACATGTTGGCTGTTGTTGTGGTTCCTGTGCAGTATAATTTCCTCGATTTTGGTCATTGTAGATATTTAATAATTTCTGTACTGAACGCATGATAAAAATGACCCGACTAGATTCATATTAAAAACTGCTCCCTTCACGAGTAGTTGCCAGTGTTTCGATTTTGATACTGTGCAGCAGAAGAGGTTGTCGTCTATTTGAACCGAAGGAAGTACAGTATCAGTTAACAAAATGATGCGTGATCATTTACTTGAGACTTCCACTGTATGAATTTGATTAAATTATAAGTGTTAATCTAGCTCGTACGTTTCTAAAGAGTATGCCTATGAGCTTGAAACTAGATGTTTTTGCTCTGTTACTCCATAAGCCCCTGATATGCCCATGATAAGAAAGAAAGTTTTACAAGATTTGATAAGCTAGGATGTTACAGTGGAGTTATCTGCACCACTAACCTCTTAGCCTCCGCTGAGGCCAGATGTAGCCAAAAGCTTGAGGATATGCTAACTATAGATATTGAAGGTGAGGGGGCCTCCCAGCGCAATGTCAAGTGTGCCCTGTTTACAGTTAAGTCACCTGGGTTCGAATCTCCCCACCTACCTAACAACGAAAGTTATAGGAGGGATCTTCCCCCTTTAACCTTGTAGTAGATATTGAAGGTGTGCCTCTACAAATTAATAGATCTTCCTCCTATTGGTGTTCTCTCTTGTACTGTTGGTTCTGTTCAATATTGCTGAGCCGATTCAACTTTGAGCTTTGGGCACAGTTTCCACATTGTTGAAGCTAATGCCTACTGTTTGAATCAGACAAAAATATGAGATAAATCCAGTGGATTTTGCATGAATGAGCATCCCAATTCGGTTTAGCTGACAACATTGGTTGCTCTGCAGGTATCAAGAGTTAGGTTTCATCGTCAGAGATGAATAAATGGATTATGTAATGTATGTTCTTCCATTCTGTATGGTGTGCATGGGGCCTGTGATGTGCTCCTCCACAAGGGAGATGACCTTGCATATATATCATGCACCGTCAAATGTGATGTGAACCTGTAGGAATTATCATGCCGTGGTCAACTGTAACTTGGAATTGACCTTTAGGCTGTGAACTGCGGTCTATTATCCGATTTCCGTAGGCAATATTCCTTCTGGCATCAAGAGAAATTAGCATGTTTCAGTTATTAGTGTCGGCCCTGTGACTGAATATTGGAGTTGCCTGAGCTATTTTGTGTGTGCACTTTTTTTTAGCCTCCCATGCTCACGTCCCACAAAAACTCTGCTTGTGTGTCTGAATTTGTTTTCCAAAAAGATATTATTGCTCCCGGGACGCTTTTACTAGTTGAATTAATTAACTTGCGCCTATTCAGTAGCAATGCCACTGGGAGCCTGGTTTATCTTCTTCTTTCTATGGGATATGGTGAAGTCTTTCATGGGTCAATTGGCTAACATCTGAATTTGAATTTTTTTCATGGGTTGATCTCTTAAGTAACAAATGAAACATACGAATGATGCATGCCTGCGAGTTTCTGTGTTCTCTCGGGAACATGGTGTGTTGCTCCTTTCGACTAGGGAATGGATGAACCTTCTTTTTTCTTGGAGAAAAAAAATAGTGAATCTTGCACCGTAGAATCCTCTCTTTTGACTAGGGATGGAATGCATTTTTTTAATTTTTCGTTCTTTCTTATTTTAGGAAAACAAGAGTGAACCACTATACGTATGGTTTCGGTGAAATCAGAAACTAAAAAAGGTTTAATGAAAGGAAAACTATACATTTGATTTTTGGACTCAACTACAAATCTGACTTCAGATTCTTTACCATGGCAAATCAAACATTTTCTTATGGCCATTTATGTGTGCTGAGGATGGCAAGCTTGGCAAATCTGCCTCGGTTTTTCTTATCAGAAAATTGCCGTGCTTGCAAACTAAATTTGTCATCCTCACGCCAACATAAATTGCCATAAAAAATGTTTAATTTGACATACTTCAAAATCTGACGTTGGATTTTTGGCATTACCTATGATTTTTTTAGAGCAACAATACAAATATGAATCTCCCGGCAAAAATAAAATAAATAAAACAATACAAATATGAATCTGTCTGCGGTGGGCTTTCTCTCGTTCTCTCGAAAATGAAATAAAGAATTTTGGGCTTCAGTCTCACTCATGGGCTTTATTAGGTCACCTGCACCTCACACTCCAGTCCACTACTCCACATCGTGCCTGCTGCTCCACTCCACCCTAAGCCGCCGCCGCCGCCGCCGCCGCCGATCTGCGGTGGTGGGGCCGATGGACGGCGACAACCTGCTCCGTCGCTCGCAGCCGGCGGGGCCGCTGGACGACGGCAACCTGCTTGCGGAGATCCTCCTCCGCCTTCCCCCGCAGCCCTCATCCCTGCCCCGCGCATCCCTCGTCTGCCACCGCTGGCGCCACCTCGTCTCCGACAACGGCTTCCTCCGCCGCTTCCGCCTCCACCACCGACGCAACCCTCCCCTCCTCGGCTGCTTCAGTGAACGCCGCCTAGAGTTATCTTTCATGCCTATGCTTGAGGCCCCCAATCGCATCCCCGCCGGGCGCTTCTCCTTGCAGCTCGACGACATCAGACCAGCACCTGCTGCACAAGGGGGCGGATTAGTTATGCCTGACAAAGGTTTCAGCGTCCTCGGATGTCGCCATGGCCTGGTCCTAATCTCCATTCCATCGTGGAATCAGGTCCTGATCTGGGACCCCGTCACCGGCGACCAGCACCGGATTGCCCTTCCCCTGGGGTTCGATGCAAAGAAAACCTATATCACCGGGGCGGTGCTCCGGTCCGCTGCCGGAGACGTCCACCACTTCCAGGTAGTCGTGGTATGCAACGACATTCAACATACACGAGTGGTTGCCTGTGTCTACTCGTCGGAGACAGATGAATGGGGTAATTCTATCTCCATACTGATTCCTTTCTATGTTACGGGAAGGCCTACTGTGCTGGTTGGGGATTCCCTTTACTGGCTGCTTGCTGTGGGTGGAATTCTTGAGATTGATTTGAAGAGGCAGAGTCTAGCTGTGATATAATGGCCGATGGATAAGGGTAAATTCTCGTTGATGCGGGCAGAGGGCGGTGGCCTTGGTCTCTTCTTTCTATCGGACCTCGGCGCCCAATTATGGAAGAGAAAGACTGACTGTGGTGGTGTTGCTTCATGGGAGCTGGGAAAAACTTTGGAACTGAACGAGTTAAAGACTCGGTCTGGGTTAAACTCCTTGACGATAGTAGGGTTTGCTGAGGACAATAATGTGGTGTTCCTGTCGAGAGGTTCAACCTTTTTCATGGTTCAGCTTGAGCCATTGGAGCTCAAGGAACTTTCTGAGGTCGACAATTGGTGTTTCTATTATGCATTCGAATCTGTCTATACTGCAGGTATAGCTAAATTAAGTGATTTGATATTCTCGTAGACTGGCTATTATTATTATGGAACTATTATGTGGTTGGATTCTAGAGGGAGCAAAAACTTTATCTGATTTATTCACTATGTTCTTATTCGATTAAAGTCCATATATAGAATAAAACGATGAACACAATGAGTAGATAATTTTTTTTGAGGTAGATTACCATGTTTTGAACTAAATTTGATTGTGGTCTGCCTAGTGACATATCGAGAATTGTACACCACAGATTTTTCTCAAGATGAGGTACATAATGGTTGGGAATTGAAGACAACTAATAAACTAGCTTCAACCAACTCAAATGTCAAATAGCTAGCTCATCTTCCTTTTATATTTACAAAAATGTTTTTTTTATAACTTCAAGAAGAGTCATGCTGCTGCCTTGTGACCATGAGGTCATGGGTTCAAGTCCTGGAAACAGCCTCTTACAGAAATGTAGGGAAAGGCTGCGTACTATAGACCCAAAGTGGTCGGACCCTTCCCTGGACCCTGCGCAAGCGGGAGCTACATGCACCAGGTTGCCCTTTTTTTTTCAAGAAGAGTCATGCTGCAAGTGGCAAGTTCGCTTGCGCAAGAGAATTCAGGTTCAATTTATGTAAAGAATAGTCACAATCATTTCTATTGCTACAAGTATAAGTATATCTTATTCTTGTTTGATATACTGTTATGGAAATATTCTTTGTATTTAGTAGTAGAAGTTTGGTTTATGTTTTCCTACTGTTGCTTCAAGCCTGAAAAGCTGTTCTCAAATATCAGTTATGGGTTTATCTAAACGTCAGCCCCCCTCATATTGTATCTATTGACTGTTCATTGGAATGCCATTGATTCTTACTTATTATACTTGTAGGCATGGGCATTTGCGGTGGACATGGTGGAGCTGAACATCTGCACAACGCATAAGATCATTTGTCTGGATAGACGTGCTATCATGATGGACGGAGTGAGCAGGTAACTATATCTGTTAGTAGTAGCAAAATGAAATGTTTTTCCTTTTCTTTCCTTCGTGGGTATTTTTTGTGTTTACTTTGCTAGTTCCTACATCGCAATTCAATTTTGTCTCTGGTTATGGATCTATCATGTTTGAGGATGATTTGTTTGTTGTCCCTGTAATGCAAATAATTGTAAGTAATAACACCTGAGCATTTGTTTGTTGTCC